TTGTTTGAGAGCCTGCACTGCCCTAAGTGGGTAGAAGGCAGGTTGGGAGCGCGGGCCTCCCTCCCTCACCGAGAGGCCAGGGCTCGGGCAGAGGCCCTGGGTGTCAGGGAGGGGAGGCTGTCCGGGGCCTCCCTGCAGCCTCGAAATGGCGACACAGGTCAGGCGTGCTCCGGGCTGGGGCACACGTGTAGCCACACAGGCCTCCTCAAGACTTTGCACACATCTCTCACGGAGGCGCCCTCCCGGCTACAGACACGCACCCCGGGGTGACGCGCTCAGGCCAGGAATGGCCAGGGTGGGTCATGCCCGACATGGGACACTCCGCCCTCACCTCGCCACCCGTTCCGTTCCTGCACGGCCCTCCTCGTCCCTCCGGCCTGCCTGGCGCCTGGGGGCAGCTCCTTCTGGTCTGAGTCACCCCCGGGCCCCTCCCCGCTGTCCGCCACAGAGACCCAGCTCTCAGGCCCTCCCCGAGAGGCAGCCGGGGGCCCCACCCACACCCTGACTCCGGCCCCCCATGTGCCGACCCCACTGTTGACGTTACTGCCCCGTAAGCGACGTTTCTCGACATGAAGGGTGGGTTCTTGTTAGAACTTCCTTCACGATTTCATCTAACTTAGTCTTAAAAATGAACTTGCAGGTTTATTTGCCAAGTTTCAAAAAACCAAAAGGCTCCCCCTGAGATCTGGGTCTGAACTGCGGTAAACGCAGATCCGGGCAGCACGGCCCTCCCAGCGGACCGAGCGCTCCCCAAGGCCCCGGGAGCCCCCCTGGCGGCCCCTGCCGGACCCCTGGGCAGAAGCCAGGTTTGCCTGTGGCTTGTCTCAGCGACACTTAGTTTCACAGATTGAAGACGGGAGAACGCGGCCCCGGTGATTTTCTGTTTTGAAATCATTTCGAACTTCAGTTTGGGTTGAAGCATCTTGACTTGGGGTCATCTTCTGCACTTTTTCATGGCATTTTGGGGGAATATGTATATTCTCTTTATGCATCCTGCATTTTATTTAAAAAAAAAAAAACGCTAAAAAATTCAACTGAGTACATCTGAAGATCAGATCGGTGTCATTCAACACCTGGTGGCTGAGGCAGCATCCCATCCGGCAGAAGGAAGGCGCTCGGACAAGTTGCACGAGAGGGAAGGTTCTCAGAGGCAAAGAAGGGGGCGAGGAAGGTAAGGGTGGGTTGTGTCTGGCAAGGTCACCTTCCTAGGGAAGCAGGGTCTTATCAGGCACATTTTGCCTTATCGGGAAGATTAGTTCTGACCAGGAAATCCGGCACAGATTAGTTTAAAATGCCACTCCCTGGGGAGGCTGAAACAAGCACTGCGCTTAGCACTGATGGTTCTGTTTGGGGGCCTGTCTCTTTTGAATGATAAAATCTAAGTCACTGCTAGTGTGATTTAAGTCGCTAATATTGTCATAAAGCATTTTCTGTGGTCTGTCCAGTTCTGCCTCAGAAGACCATCGATGTCTCTGCCACACCCCCCCTCGCACACCAGGATGACCGTGTTTCAGTGCACGCTGTGCGTGCCTCTCGGAGGACGCGGGGTCTATCGGTGATGCTCTCACTTGCCCGCTTCAATTTTTCACCTTGAATTCCTCTTTCTCTGGTGGTCGTGCTAGGATACACCCGCCCTCGCCGCGCCCGCCTGAGACGCTTCTCAGCCCTTCCTGCGCACTTTCTCACCACTTTACTGCAGGTGTGGCCCTCACGGATGTTGGACAGAGCCGGTCCACCCCATTTTGCTGACCCCTGTCCCAGCCAGGTCTGCCCAGGTCACCCCACGAGGCGGCTCTAGTGGTGACGAGAGGAGCCCGGGCCCAAGATGACAATGTGACTGGTGCATTGCCCTGGACAGCAGCTCCTGACCACGGGCCAGAGTCCGAGCTCGGCCGCACGACCTCGCGGCTTCCGGGCCTGAGCCATCCAGTGCTTGGGGGGGTTCCAGAAGGAGGAGCACGTCAGTGGCGTGACATCCAAGGGCCCGCATCAGAGAAGGCGGCCCCACTGGGCGACCTGAGTGCACTCTCTCAGCCACCCCACCCACCTGCTGCAGGGCTGAGGGGCAGCAAGCCTGTGGGCTGCACTGAGGGCTGAGCCCTCCCCTCTCCTCAAGTTCAGACGGAATGTCTGCTGGCTCAGTCCCTTCGTAGCACGTTTTTTCTCTCCGTAAGGTTGGCAACGTCCTGCCTGTGATCTTGCTGTAGGACCCTGCAATATGTCACCCCTGGGGAAGCCGAGTGAAGGGGACTCTGGCTCTCTGTGTTATTACTTACAATTGCATATGGATCTACAATGACCTTAAATTAAAAAAATTAACCAAAAAAAAAAAAGGGCGATAGAATATATAATTAAAGAAATAGCCACCCAGAAGTTTAAAAGTTCCTCTCTAAGGAACCATAGGGCACGAGAGCTCAGGATTCAAGCCTCGGGACTCCATTCTGAAGGAGGTTCCCCTATTCTACCCCAGCAGGGAGAAGATCTTCTCCAGCCCTGGCAACAAGTCAGCCAATGAGAAACACTCACAGGCCTGCCATTGAGGGACTGTCACAGTCCAACCAATCAGAACGCACCACCACTCTGCCACTCACTTTCCTTAAAGGATTTTCCTTCAAAGCAGCCCCTCCCACCTTCCTCCTTTTTCTCTGTGAAGCAACTTTCCTGTGTTCTCTGCACCCGCCTGTGGTTTTGTCGTAACTTGCAGGTCCTGAATTTCCATTTTTCTGCTATTCTCAAATAGGCCCATTTTGCTGGTAGAGTAACTGGCCATCAGTTGTCACTTTGTTACAATGCATGTAACAGGCATGACTCGCTCCTGCTCCATCAGGACAGACCACCTGGTCATTCCTTCGTCTTTGTGCCTCCCTTCCTCTGCTTTGTGTCTCTCCGGGTGCGAGAAGCCTGGGTCCCGTCCTTGAAGCAGGGAAAAGGGTCCACAACAGCCCACCCTGTGTGCTGTGCACGGCACTGGGCTCTTCCAGGGCGTCTCGGGGAGAAGGGCTGGCCTCCCACCCTCCCCTTCCCCTGAAAGTGAAAGGTAAACCTTCCCCTAGTGGAGGCTGGAGGCTAGAAGGGGCCCTGCCTCTCCACCTCAAGTACAGAAGATTGTCAGTCACGGGCCCAGCCGGAGAGTCCTCGCGAGAGAGACTCCCCGGTTACAGGCCCCACCAGGGGAGGGTCACAGGCAAACCGCCACCGCGGCCGCTTGGCCAGTGAGAAGCCATCACCCCAAGCCCTTGCTTTCCCCCAGTGGCTTTCCTTCAAAACAACGTCCCCGACTTCCTCCTTCTTCCCCGTGAAATAGCGACCCCGTCTTTTGTTGGACTTGCCCACGGCTTACCGCAGCCCGCATGTCCTAAAGGGCAGTGTGCGCCATTCCTAGATCCGCTCTTTCGTGCTGGTGAAACAACTAGCTGTGTTATGTACAGGGTTAACCTACCCGACACATTGCTAAGCCTCATTCCGCTTGCTTCCTGTGGGCTGGGAACTGCAACCTCCTCTCCCCTTAGCTTTTCTTCCTGGGAGCCCGGGGGGCTGACTGGGGGCCAGGAGGCCTGACCGCCCCGCCCCTCCTCTCTGGGTTTCCTGCCCTGCCCTCCCCTCCCCTCCCTTTCACCACCCCCACTGCCTGGCTGGTTCTCTGGCAGTCTTGATGGCCCACTGGGGAATTCCCGGGAAGTACCAATATGGCTTGGGCACTGGGTGCATTTACGCAGAGGGTGCTTGCTGTGCCCCCAAGAGCAGGCAGGTGTGGCAGGGAGCCTCCACACCAAATGCCCGTCGTGGGTCGTGGGGAATCCTACTAGCTGGTGCTGTCGGGGGAGGGGGAAGATCGTCAAAACCCCAATCGTTCTGTCCTGCCTGGCACAGTGGCCGATGTCCCTGGCTTGAGCCTGCGGCTTAGCCAGAAAAGGAACGTTTAAAATGAGCCAAAAAGAAAAAAGCACGTGAACTTCTAGCTCCCTAAGGTGGGCGGGGCGGGCCCCAGCAGGGTCGGGCCGGCGCTCCTCCAAGAGGCCTCGCAGTTGGTAAGGGGCCTGGGGCGCCTCCCTCCCGCTCGGCTCGGACTTGCTGCAGCCACGGGGTAGGTGCGGGTGGGGCCCAGTGGGGGCCCGTGAGGGGTGGTCCAATGGGGGTTCTGGGAGGGTAGTTCAGTGGGGGCTTCATGGGGGGTCCACGGGCGGCAGGGAACAGTCCAGAGGGAGGGGACACCCAGTAAGGGCTGCAGCAGGGGTGCCTGGGAAGGGGGGTGGGGAGGTGCAGTCCCCCGCAGCCTGGAGGGGGCAATCCAGTGCAGGCTGAGGGTGGGTTGGGGGCCAGGACGGCTCAGGGGGGCTGCAGCGTGGGGGAGGGATGGTCCAGTGGGGTCTGCCTGGCGGCAGAGGGGGTGACAGTCCAGTGAGGCTGTGGGCGGCACATGGGGGGTGATCCAGAAGGGGCTGCGGAGCTGGGTAAAGGGACAGTTCAGTGGAGGCGGCGTGGGGGTTGTGAAGAGGGGTGGACGGGGGACAAAGGCCCGGGGTGGGGGCGCTCCAGTGGGGGGCTGCAGCCCGGGTGCTGTCTGGTGAGGCCTGCATGGGGGGGGTTGGGCAGTCTGTGAGGGTTCCATCGGGGGCGGGGGTGGCGCGAGGGGCAGCCCAGGGGAGGCTATGGGCGGGGCTGTGGCGGGGCAGGGGTGGGGGCGGCGCGGAGGGGGCTGCCTGCGGGCGCGATCGCGAGGGGCAGTCCCGGGGAGGCCGGGGCGGGGCGGGCGGACACCCCGGGGATGGGCCAGGCCCCTCGCGGCGGCTCCCAGGCCCGCGCCACGAGGCGACCGCGTGACCGGGGGGCGGAGACGGGGACTGACGGACCACGAGCCTGGGAACCGGCCCGGGGCCAGCGCAGCGGCGGCTGCGCGGGTCGGAGCGCGGGCGGGGCGTGGCCGGGGGCGTGGCCGGGGCGTGGTCCCGCCGCCTTTCCCGGCAGCGCCCGCGGCGGCGGGTCACTGTATGCGCCCGGGCGGCGCGTGCGCCCGCTCGCGGTGGGTCCGCGGTGCCCTGCCCAGCGCTCCCGGAGGAGCGGCCGCCGGCGCCCGGGTACCCGGTGAGGCGCGTGCCGGGGGCTGCGGGGTGAGTGCGCCGCCGCGGGCACGGCCGGCGCGGGCACGGCCGGCGCGTGCGGGGCGCGCCCTGGGCGTACGGTACCCGCTCATCCCCTCCGTGGGTCCCGTGAAGGGAGGGATTCGGGCATCGCGCTCCCGCCGCGTTCCCCGCCGGCGCCCACGGCGCGCGCGCTCCCCCCTCCTGCGGCGGGGCTCCCACGACTCTGGCCGCTTCGCGCGGGTGCGGCCAGTCGGGGTCTGAGCGCCGCCGCGACCTCCCCCGGGGCTCTTACCCGGGCGGCGGCACCCGTGCGCACGTGCTCCGCCCGCGGGGCGCGGGGTGTCCCCGGTCACCCACGCCACCAGGAGGGCCCGCGTTGGTCTCCCGCCCCCGAGCTGGTAGGTGCCGACTGACTTCCTCTCTGGACGAGCGGGTGCAGCAGAGAGCGGTGGGGACGGGAGCCTGGGCCTGGGCTGCGGTCCCGTCCTCAGTGGCCGCGTGCTGCGTCTCTGCAGGGGCAAGCTGCCCTGGAGGGTCCTGTTTACTCCCCCGGCGGAGCGCTTGCTCTGGAGAGGCCAGCGTTGTGGGCCAGGCACACCGGCGGGTTCGGGGTGTCCACCCCAGCCCTCCTGGCCTGAGCTCGAATTAGGAGGTGGGCCAGCTCCGAAGTCCAGAACGCAGCCAGAAGAAGCTGTTTCCGTGGTGCGCAGAGTGCAGGGAGGGTACAGGTTTTGGGGCTGGGTGCCCTGCAGGAAGTGACCAGGTGCCCCCCCCCCAAGGGAGACCAGAGGGCCCTTCCGCATCCCACCCTGAATCAGCAGAACCGCGACTCTTCGGGGGGACTGTCTCCCTCTGCGGGTCTGGGAGCCCAGTGCCCAGGCCTGAGGGTCCCCAAACGGTGTCTCCCCTGCTAGGCTGCATTGCTCTGTCTTGGCCTCCTTTGGAGTTGGTGCGACTCATTCCTTTTAGCCGAGGGGGACTTGCTGGATGTCAGTAACTCGGGATGCTCAAGCACGTGTGCTGGGCGGTGGTGATCAGCACGTTTTCACCTTGTGGGTTGGGGTCTACAGCAGTGACAGCCAGAGGGCTTACTCCCTGGAACAGGGAATAGGTCATGCGATTTGGGGGGAGGATGCACGGGTTTTTCTTTTTCGCTGAAAATGTAACGAACCTCCTTGATAACCTGGGAGACCGTAGCCGGTTTAAAGCACAAAACGAGGCAGGTGGTTTTTGGTTCTGTTTTGGCTTTGGGTCTCTAGGCGGACTGGTTCCTGGAGGGACAGAGCAGCAGCTGGCAGCCTCCCCCAGGGCAGGAGCTCGAGGGTGTGCGGGAGGGGTCCCTGGGGGGAACCTTCTCTTGGAGACACCCGCTGGGCTCCTCGGTCCTCGCCCGTGACTCCTGCTTGGCCACAGTTTCCTTCGGTTGCCCTGACGGGGCCTGAACTTGCATGGCATCCGGCTGGGGTTGGGGCGCTTGCCGTCCGGGCCCATCCTGCCACCCACTTGCCCTGAGCTTGGGTGCCTCATCTGACTTCTGGACTGTTCTGCACCTGTCCCGTGTGGCGGCGCCCCTCCTCCTTACCTTGCTGGAGTGTGAGCCTGGGAAGGGCCTGCGTGTTTTCGAGAGAGGACTTTGAGTCCTGGCCGTGGCAGCTGGCCGCTCATCAGAGCTGGTGTCTACACCCAGCTCAGGTGAGTTGAGTGAACTCACCTGAAGCAGACGAAGTCCACCGGACGTGGGCAGGGCCCCAGCCTTGCTGGCTGAGACCCCTGGCTGCGACAGCTTCTGGGCTGGCCTTTTTCTTTGCATCTCTGTCCCGGGCACGAGCGGCCTTTCCCCCTAGAGAGGCCGAGTGACAGGGCTCGTAAACACGCACCGTGCTCCTGTGGTCGTCACCGCTTCCTCCCCAGTGGCCAGGGTTAAAAATGGATTTCAAGTCCGACTTCGGAGCTGTGGCTCCTGTGTGGCAGGTGGTGCTCCAGGAGGGGCCAAGTTCCTCCCCTGGACCCCGTCCCACCAGGCTCCGGCCTCTACATGCTCAACCTGTTCAGAAGTTGTTCAAAGTTTGCGGGCAGCAGTGTGTCCACGTGTGGGAGAGGCGCATTCCAGAGTGGACGCAGGCCTTCTGTCCCCAGGGTGCCTCCCTGCAGATAAGCACCACCGCCCGGGGTGGGCCTTGCGGCCGCCTGCCGCCCTTTGTTCTGGGAGGTCAGGTGGCTGCCCTTCAGCTGTGAGGGGTGACCAGAGGTCACTTTTGCCACAGTGCCCCACTTGAGTTCGGCCCCGGGTGCCCCTGCGGCGGGACCTCTCAGGTCAGAAGTCCGGGAGGTCCAGGACTGTGCCCCCCACCCCCGCCTCCAGCTGGAGGACGGGCAGGGTCTTTAAACAACAGTCAGGAAAACTATCTGAAGCAGAAATGCAGGCGCCACATTTTGAAGGAACGCTCTCCAGAGTCTGGAGCCTTCCATGCTCCTCAGCGTTGTCACTGCTGTTTCTGCCCCCTGGCGTGGGGCAGGGTGAGGCTGGACCAGCTGCGGGGCAGTGAAGCGTGCCCTCCGTGCCCTCCGTCGCGGGCGGCCGCCTCCACTCCTGCCCCTGGTGCGCGGGCCGAGCGGGAGCTCGAGTTCCCCGCTCCGGTGCGCACGGGACGGGCAGGAGCCCCCTGCTGGGCGTTGCTCTTGAGCAAATGTTCACAGAGACTCAGGGGGACCGTGGTGCAGGGGCGACCCAGGCCGGCACAGGGGCCGCGAGCACGGGGCGAACAGTGTGGTCCCCAGAGGTGAGACGAGTGCGGGACTCAGCACAGGACTCCGAGTGAGCTGTGGGGGCCTGGGGCCGGGGCTTAGCATCACGTGGTCAGAGGACAGAGACGGCCCCAGAGGCCTGGGCTTCTTCCGGGCTGGGGGAGGCCTCGTCTTCACCTCAGCTATTATGGAACTTGGGAGAAGGGCTAGGGCTCTGGGCCGCCCAGCAGGTTGAGCCCTGCCCTGGGCAGTGTCCCTAGATCGCAGGGAAGGGGCTCCCTGACACTGACTCTGCGGACCCCCCCGCATTCCCCGTGAGCGCCACTGGCGGTAGGCGTTCCCTGGCCATCACCTGCGGTGGCTCCTCTCATGCCCATCCTTTGGGGGGGGCATTGAGGATGGTCCCCCTTTGTGTTGTGACCCTGGAGGACTCCCAGGGGCCACCCGAGCGGTGGTCGGGGGTGGGGCTGCCATGCGCCGGGAGTACTGGATGTGGGTTAGAGCCAGGCCAGCCAGGGATCCTCAGGCGCAGTGTCCCAGGGTGCTCTGCTCTTTCACCTGCTCAGGCCTGCCTGCGGGACATGTCAGGTGCAGAGTCCTGGGCGGTGACCCAGACCTTCAGACAGCTGCACAGGGCAGAGCTCAGAGCTGGAGCTGCTGACAGTTCTCACTGTAGACAGAGAACCGCTCCTGGGTTTCAGAAGCCTTTGGAAGCCAGGACTTAGAACAGAAAGCATTAGTGTATTTGGAGGTGGTGCCTGAAACTTGCCCCATTGTCCTGGGCCTCAGGGGATACCAGGTAATGGTAAGTTCCCGTTGCTTCTGGAGATGATTCCGTTTTGAGCAGTCTGGCCAAGTCCTCAAGGCCTCTGAGCCCCTGGGGGACAGGGAGGGTAGAGACCTGCCTCGGGATGTACCTGGGAGTGGGGAGTGAACTTGAGGGGGTCCTGGGGCCGGGATGGGGTCCCTGTGGGTGCACCCTGAGGTTGGGTGGTTCTGCCTGTGGGCCTGGGTCCCCCCATCTGTATGAGCTTCTGGTGGGTTTTGAAGAGCAAATACCAGAGTCTCTGTGTCCAAGCCACTTGGCCTGCGTGCCCTGCGGCGGTTTCCTGGGGGGCCGTTGCAGCTCGGCGGCTAACTGACTGGTTCATTTGATCCCTTGGGAAGGTTTGAGGGGCCGTCCCAGGACCTTGTGACTCCTGGGACCACCACCCTCCCTCCCTTTGAAACTCTGTGATCCGGGCAGCCGCCCCTCACCTCTGCCATTGTGCGGAGCCCCCCCCCCCCACCGCCACCCAACTCCAGCAGCCTGGCTTCAGAGGGGCTCACTGCTGTCCCCTGCTTTTCCCTCGTTGCAGAAATAAGTGTGGGTGTGCAGAAGGCAGGAATCGTCCTGCTCACGAGGCCGCAGGTCACTTGCTGAGGCGCTGTGTTTCCTGTGGGTGGGGTTTCTACAGTCACCTGGCTCTTTGTCCTCTTCGGCGTCCCTGTTGTGGATGTTGAATCCTAAGTCCGTGAAAGAGGGGGACACTCTTCAGTGTTGTTTCTGGGGAGCAGGATGGTGGCCGTGGGCCTTGATTCTTGCCTCATCTCCTGTTCCAGGAACAGCCTCATCTCCTGCAGGGCTGCGGGCAGCCGGGGCAGCATGGCGCCCTCTGGCCAGGCGGTGGAGAAGCAGGAGCCCCCGGGGCCTGGGCTGGACCCCGAGCTCAAGTCCTGGAAGTGCCTGGTGTTCTACCTATGCTTCTACGGCTTCATGGCCCAGATGCGGCCCGGGGAGAGCTTCATCACACCCTACCTCCTGGGCACCGATAAGAACTTCACGCAGGAGCAGGTGCGTGGACGCGGTGTGTGGACGGGGGCGGGGGGAAGGAGGGTGAGCAGCCAGGGGCCTCCCCAGGCCGGGGGGGGGGTGGTGGCTGAGCCTGTGAGGGCAGGTGGCTGCGTGGAGCTAGGTGTCCCGATCCCGGTCCCCCAAGGGGCACCTCCACACTAAGGGCCAGACTGTCACTGACCAGGCCAGTTCAAGGGTGCTGGCAGGCTGTGGAAGGGTCTGAGGGTCACCCTCCCTCCAGGTGGGCTCACCTGCTGAGAGGGCTCACTTCCAGCCTTTGAGGACTGAGGAAGTTTCCTTTGATGCAGCAGCCGGGACAGAGGGCCTCCTTGAAACTTGACTAATAAGCTTACCTCCTGGGGCAGCCTTTCCTTCTCTGGGAAACAAAAGAGCCATTGGTCAGTGGAGCTTCTGTGCCTGCTCTGCTCACTCCCGCCCTCCCGCCCGACCTGACCCGTGGTGCCGGCCCGGAGCCCGGCCCAGGCTGGCTCACTCACCCCTGCCCTTGGGCTCCGTCTGCCCGGCCCCTCCAGCGTGTGGGCCAGCCTCTGTACCCTCTGTCTCTGTGTCTGAGCTGTGGGTCCCACTGAGCTGCTGCCTTTCTTTCCCCCTGAGAGCTCAACTCCTTCCCTTTGCCCACCTGAGATTGGCTTAAGTCGGGGGGTTGCTGTGCAAAAGCCCTCAAAGTAGCCACCTGACTGGCTTGCAGGAGGTCGAAACCATGTGTGTGTGTGTGTGTGTGTGTGTGTGCGCGCGCGCGCGCGCGCGCCTTGGGAAAGCATTGTTTTCCCAAGAACTTAGCTACTAATAGCTCCGTGTTGACCGGGAGCCTTGCGGATAACGTGAACAGTTGATGAACATGTATCCCCAGTGTCCTGTGTGTTCCGTACTTCATTCTTATGCTGATGTGAGCTGGAGAGAAACAGCTTCTTAAGAACGTCATAAGGAAGAGAAAATAGTATGGTACTTGAACTGTATTTACTGACAACAGTCTGCGGATAAGTGGCCCGACTCAGGTCAGATGGTTGTTCAAGTGTCCACTGTGGCGGGTTCCAGACATTCAGCCAGACCACCAGCCCCGGGGACATCATCAGACGGGCGGCAGAAGCGGGTGGGCTCTGCTCAGGCTGCTCTGCGGGGCCCGCAGGCGGTGAGGCTATGGGCTGGCTGGCCTGTGTCCGCACAGCCGCGGTGGCTTCTCGCTGCTGGGCTGACCCGGGACGCTGGTCCCTATGGGCTCAGGCTGCTGTCACCTCCGTGCGCCCTGGGGGCTGAACCACAGAGGGTCCACCTGGTGCTTAGGTGGCCTCCAGGCTGTCCCCCCACCTCCCATAGGTGGTCCCCCTGGACAGGTGTCCTCCTCCCTCCAGCAGGTGTCCCCCCACCGCAAGTGTCCCCTCCCCCCCACAGGTGTCCCCTCCCCCCCACAGGTGTCCCCCCCCGACAGGTGTCCTCCTCCTCGCAGGTGTCCCCTCCCCCCGGCAGGTTTCCCCACCACAGGTGTCCCGCCCCCGCAGATGCTCCCTTTCCCCACACAGGTGTTCTCCTCCTGCAGGTGTCCCCTCCCCCCCACAGGTGTGCTCTCCCCCCCGCAGGTGTCCCCTCCCCCCCGGCAGGTGTCCCCTCCCCCCCGGCAGGTTTCCCCACCACAGGTATTCCCCCCCCCCGCAGATGCTCCCTTTCCCCACACAGGTGTTCTCCTCTCGCAGGTGTCCGTCCTCCCTGCGGGTGTCCCCTCCCCCCACAGGTGTGCCCTCCCTCCCCACAGGTGTCCCCTCCCCCTCCCCCCCGCAGGTGTCCCCCCCCGCAGGTGTGCTCTCCCCCTCCTCCCCGCAGGTGTCCTGGACTGCGCCGTGCACGTGTGGCTTCCTGCTTCCCTTGCCAGCATCCGATTGGCGCTGTTGACTTTCTGCCCATCTGATTGCTGTGAGGAGCCGGCATGCTGCCGGGTTGTGTTTCTCTGCTCTGCCCACACTCCTGGCGGCCTGGCTGTCACCTGGCTGTCACCTGCCTGTCCCTGTGCCCATGGGGCTGGCCTCCATGTCTTCCTGCGGGGCCGTCTGCCTTCTGGTTGCCCTTCGGGGTCACCTGTTTCTCCCAGTCTGGGCCAGTCTTCCCGCTTTGTGGGACTTGTGAGCTTTTGTCAGGCCAGGTTGCCCACGGTTCATGCTGCGAGTTTGCCTGACGACCCCCCCCCCCGACTTAGAAGTGCTTTGGGGAGGGGACAGGGCCCCCTAGCACCTGCAGACCTGTAATTCCTGAGTCCTGCCGCCGCGGCCCCCACGGAGAGCCCCCCACCCAGGACTGTGGACCACCGTCCGCTCGGGGCTGACCACTGGCACACTCCTCAGTGAAGGTCCCCGTCTCGTCCCTGTCCTCCCTCCCCTCCAGCGGTCCTCCAGCCACATCCAGGTGCTGCCTGGGATAGGCTGTCGCACCTCCTCCTGGAGGGTGGGTCAGCTGTGGCCCGGCCCTCCCCCCGCGTCCCCTCCTGAGAACCCGCTGCCCTCCGCCCTGCCACTCCACACTTCCTGCCTTCCCACGGTGGCTTTGGGGCCCGGCCGAGCCTGCCCGTTCAGAGAAGCAGCAGCCCTGAAGCCGCCTGGACCCGGGTCTGGGCCCAGTTCCTGTCTTTGCCCGTCAGCCTGGACCAGGCCCATGCAGACACCAGCGTGATGGGAACACGTCCAGGCGACGCTAGGCTCAGGCTGGGGGAGGCGACCTTGCGCCAGAGCCGGGCCACTCGATGGCCGCGATCTGCCCGGGGACCTTGTGGGTGCCCAGTGTGACCTGGGGCAGTGGTTTGCCTGCCAGGCCTGAGGACGGCAGAGTGGGGGTGTGGGGGGGGGGGCATTGTCAGGAGTTCTCACAACTGAGGGGCTATTTGATGTTCCTGAAACTAAACTTGGTCCAAACCCCTGCAGCCAGGACCCCGGGGCTCTCAGTGGCCAAGTGCAGGTTGTATCCACTGGGACTGACCGGCACCAAGGGTCCCGGAATGTCCTGGGGTGTTTAGTGGATGGTGTCTCAGGGCTGCAACCTGTGGGGTCATCCGTGGCCTCCCCTGGGCACATGGGTTTAAGAGGCCACCAGGCAGGGGAGCTTTAGTTGGGGAGGAAGGGAGAGGGGGCATGCGTCTCAGTGCTGGGTCTCAGACAGCTGTCCTTAGGCCCTGATGCTTGACCTGTGCACAAGCGAAGAAACACAGCTCCACACTCGCCCGGGACCCTCAGTGGCCGGCCTAGCCCATTGTGTAGCACCCCTGGGTGGGCAGCCACCCGGACCGCACAACCCCCCGGGTGAACCCCTGAGGTTCCTGGGTCCACGCGGTGTCCTGGAGCCTCATGGGGCGGGCCCAGCACGGCCCCCTGTGCTGACCCACGGCTGACTCTGGGGCCTTGGAGCGCACTGGCTTTTGGGGCCGGGGGCCGCATGGGCCACCTGCGGGATCACTCTGGGGCCCGAGTGCAGCCTCTGAGGGCTCCCCGCTGTGCGTGCCCTGGCGGGTCCTAGCCATGGCCAGAGCCGCGTGTGGGGTCCTGCGGGATTGGGTGCAGGGACTTCCCACCCGATGTGCCTGAGCCCTGGGACCAAGCGAGGCTGGTGGCAGGTGCCCTCCCCCAGCAGACAGGCGTGAGGGGGGCCCCGGCTGGGCCTGCTGCTGCCTCTGCTCTGGTCCATTTCCTTTTCCTTCTGGTTTCTTCCTTTTGTTCTGGTGCATGAAGGCCATTGTGTGCGCTCATTGTCTGAGGCCTTTCCTCCCCAGCCTGAGAGGCAGCTGTGTTAGCAGGAGCATAAACTGGTCACAGCCGTGACCAAGGAGAAGCCAGATTCTCTTTCTGTTTCATGAAAAACAAACAAGCCTGGTTTAGCACGTGGCCATGTCATTACTGCTTGTTAGCGAGGTAGTTTCCAGTGTCTCGTGGCCTGCTGTCCTGTGCGAGGCGGGCCCCTGCGTCCCGTGGCCTATTGTCCGTGGCCTGCTGTCCTGTGCGAGGCGGGCCCCTGTGTCCTGTGGCCTCTGTCCTGGGCAAGGCGGGCCCCTGCGTCCCGTGGCCTATTGTCCGTGGCCTGCTGTCCTGTGCGAGGCGGGCCCCTGTGTCCTGTGGCCTCTGTCCTGGGCAAGGCGGTCCCCTGTGTCCCGTGGCCTATTGTCCGTGGTCTGCTGTCCTGTGCGAGGCGGGCCCCTGCGGCCGTGGCCTGCTGTCCTCCTGTGCTGGGAGAAGTGTGCGCGCAGGGCCGGCGTGCCGTCGGGTGGACGCGGTTGGGGCTGGGCCGCCCTGTGCTGTCCTGACGGCCGTGTGTTTTTACAGAGGTTAGTAACACGGAGACCGGCGCGCCCGCGGGGCCGCGGTGTCACGAGCCTGCCGTCCCACAGGTCACCAACGAGATCACGCCGGTGCTGTCCTACTCGTACCTGGCGGTGCTGGTGCCCGTCTTCCTGCTGACCGACTACCTGCGCTACACGCCGGTGCTGGTCCTGCAAGGCCTGAGCTACGTCTCCGTGTGGCTGCTGCTGCTGCGGGGCAGCTCCGTGCTGCACATGCAGTTCATGGAGCTCTTCTACGGCGTCACCATGGCCGCCCGCATCGCCTACTCCTCGTACATCTTCTCGCTCGTGTCCCCCGCCCGCTACCAGCGCATGGCCGGCTACTCGCGCGCCGCCGTGCTGCTGGGCGTCTTCACCAGCTCCGTGCTGGGCCAGCTGCTGGTCACCGTGGGCGGGATCCCATTCTCCACGCTCAACTACATCTCCCTGGCCTTCCTCACCTTCAGCCTGGTCCTCGCCCTCTTCCTGAAGCGCCCCAAGCGCAGCCTCTTCTTCAACCGCAGCGCCCCCGAGCGCGATGGGGCCTCGCCCTCCGAGCTGGACCGCATGAACCCGAGCCCGGCCTGGCCCGCGGACACCAAGCCGGGCCGGGCGCTGCTGGGCGCTTGGCGGGACTGGACCCTGGTGCGCATGCTCCGGGAGCTGGGGGACAACATGCGGCTGCCGCAGCTGCGCCTCTGGTCCCTCTGGTGGGTCTTCAACTCGGCCGCCTACTACCTGATCGTCTACTACGTGCACATCCTGTGGAGCTTGGTCAACCCCACCGCCGACACCTCCTCCGTCTACAACGGTGGGGCGGACGCCGCGTCCACCCTGCTCGGTACGTCCACGGCCCCACCGGCCTTGCCCTCCCTTGCCCCCGTCCCCCCGGGAGGCCGCTGTGACGCGTCCTGTCTCCCCAGGTGCCATCACCTCCTTCTCCGCGGGCTTCGTAAAGATCCGCTGGGCGCTGTGGGCGAAGCTGGTCATCGCGGGCGTGACGGCAGTGCAGGCCGCGCTGGTCTTCCTCATGTACAGCACGAGCAGCGTCTGGCTGTGCTACGTGGCCTTCGTGCTCTTCCGCGGTGCCTACCAGTTCCTGGTGCCCGTCGCCACGTGAGTTGACCAGAGCAGGGCGGCCGCGGAGGGGCCAGAGCCGCAGCCTGGCCAGTGGCGGGTGGCTGATGGCCACACGCCTTCCTCCCGCTCGCTGGGGAAGGACAGACTGTCTGCATGTGTTAAGAGGCCTCCCTTCCAGACTGTTCTGCGGGGGGCAGAAGTGGTATGTGCAGGCAGCGTGGAGGGAGCTGGGCGGTGCGCTCTCCCACTGGGAGGAGCAGTGAACCCAGCGTGGGCCCCCAGGGGCCCACTTGTCCCCTTGTCCACGGCACAGCGTGCTCCAGCTTTTGTGACCCCGAGCTCTGCCCGGAGCCTGCCGCGTGTGGCGTCCCCGCTGCTCCCCCGGCGGCCACGTGGGGCCCACAGTTACCAGCCCTTGTAACATCCTCCCAGCTCCCGGCCTGTTTTTGAGGCCCCGCGTGATGCTGTGGTCGCGCCTGTGGCGCTTGAGGTCTCGCTCATCCCCTTCCATGGCGGGCGCAGTGACACACGCCAAGGAGTAACCAGGTGCTGTCCTCCAGCCCTCTCGTGCCTTCCAGAACCTTCTCCAGCCCACGTCCTGCTTGCTCCTAAGATCCTCTGTGTGTTCCTTTGAACTGACCCTTTCCTGAAGCTGTATGCTGTTGCCACACGTGTTCACACCACGTGTGCTCAGGTCACACACACGTGTGGGAGCCTCCCTCCCTCCCTGTGCTCCCCGCACCCAGCGGGTGGGCCCGGGTCTATTACCAGCTCCCCTGCCCGGCCCTGGCTCCCCTCTGGGCCTCACCCCTCCTGGTCACGCCTGAGTCAGATCATCAGTCCGCACTTGATCTTGAGCCCACGTGGCATCCTCAGGCGCCCAGCTCTGGGGTGCCACCTCACGGAAGTGCCCCTCCCCAGCTTCACTCTCCACCCAGTCTGCACCCGCCCTGGGCCTCCCTTTCCTCTGTCGGGGAGGGCCGAGCTCCGCCAGATGCCCCGGGGGGCCATTTCCTCAGCAGATGCCCAGCCCGCTCCCCGTGGCCGGGGCCACCTCCCCTGACGGCCCCTCACGTGGCCGCCAGTCTTCCCGGCCTCCTGTCCCTCCTTGCCCTCTCTCAGCCTGCACACGTCCCCAGAGCATCTCGTTGGCCAGGCGCTCACCTTTCCGTCAGCGCATGGACAGGGCTCCGGGTCATCTGCTGTGACTGCCGTCCACCTGCTTCGTCAACTCCTTGCGCATTGTTGCCTGTAGGAACACAGGCGGGCAGTGCGGGGTGTCTGGCGCGGGGAGAGAACAGCCCCTTCCGGCCCCACCCCAGGCCTGGCCGCGGCGCTGGGGTGTCCAGCCTGACATGGGACCGAGCTCGTCACTCTGCAGCGCTGCCCTGTGCGCTTGGCTCTGTGGTTCAGTGTCACAGGTGCAGACATAGTCGTCCTCTCGGTGACATCATACGGCTGGTCCCCAGGTGACAGGGATGCCACGTACTGTGTTTTCCTGTGACCGACAGCCCTGAGGCTGATGCCCTCTCACCTGCGTTTCTTTCTCCGGATTCCGATGACGGCCACAGACGGGTCCCAGGAGGGGCCGGCCCGGCCAGGGTGTGTGCCCTGGAAGACGGTGCCCTTCAGGCAGCCGGATGTGGCGGGAGCCCCTCACCGTGTGCCACCGTGTCATGGTTTGATTGCTCCCGCCCAGGGCCGTGGAGCGCCGCAGGAGACGGGCGGTGTGGGTGACCGGGGACTGGCCCCACGTGGGTTTCCCTCGCTGCGTGTGAGGTCACGCTATCGCTCGACCTGGCGGGGGCGCGGGGGGCTGCCCTGTTCCCCACCCAGCACAGCGGCGCCTCGGCCTCTGTCGCTCTCTTGAAAGATTTCTTGCACATTTTTGTGCCTTCTTTCTCCAGAACTTAAGAATGTTTCTTGTCGAGTTAGTTGTTGGAGGCACCTTGGGGGTTTTAGCGGAGAGTACCTTCAGGTGCTCGCTTTTCTGCAGAGGACGGGGATTCCTCCCGCTTTGCTTGTTTGTTTTCGTGTTCCGTCCCTGACCCCTCGAGTCCTCAACAGCGGAAGAGCAGTGACTCCAGAACACTCCTTGTGGTTCCTGCCCGCTGTCGTGAGGCGCTCAGGGCTTTGCAGCGATTGCTGTTTACTCTGTCCCACAGTTACCCAGAGACATTTGAACGTCTTCCCGGGGCGGGTGTTGTCCGCACGCGGCTCGGAGTGCTGTCTGGGTGCCGGGCCGGTCTTGCCGGTTCCCCTGGGCGGGGTGGGCGCTCCCCACGCCGCGGCCGCGTCTGACTCGGCCGCTTCCCTGTTCAGTTTCCAGATCGCGTCCTCTCTCTCTAAAGAGCTCTGTGCCCTGGTCTTCGGAGTGAACACATTCCTCGCCACTGTCCTCAAGACCATCATCACCCTCATCGTTTCCGACAAGCGATGTCTGGGCCTCCCCGTGCACTTGCAGGTGCGTCCGTGTCAGCCTCGCGTCCTGGGGGACGGAAGCCTCTGGAAGGGTGTCCGGCCAGTGACATCTTCCCCCCAAAGGGTCTGGGCCCGCAGGTCTGCTGCAGGGGCGGCGTGGGCAGGGTGGGCTGGGGCGGGGCAGGGGGGAGGCTCAGCCGCCGCTGGGCTGCACAGACCCCGGGGCTGGGCTGGGGCTGGGATGTCATGTGGTTACTCCCACTGAGGCTGCTGGGGCCCCGGACGCAGGCCCGTCTGGAGGAGCTCTGAGCAGCCCCGGGCGTCCCCTGCACTGGCTGATGTCCCAGGAAGGATGGAGGTGTGGCCGTGAGCCCTTTCCCTGTGTGGTCACAGCTCACGTTTTAGGTCTCTGCCTTTGATTCAAAACCTATCAGACCTGGGTCCTGACTCACGTGAGCTGTTTTTTTCTGCGGACAGGAGAGTGGACCTGGGCTTGCCGTTGCTGCACGTCGGGCCCCGTCTGGTCCCTCCCTCCCTCCAGCTCTGGGCGGGTTCTCGGTGCTTCTGAGAAGAGCTTGAGAGTTCCTGTCCTGTGAGGTTGGGGGCACTCACGTGTGTGACATGTCTGGGCAAGCTGGAGTTAGCCAGAGGGCAAGCCTGCAGGGGACGGTAACCGGGCTCCTGGGGACCACCCCACCCCACCCGTGGCCGGACACGTGCCCTGAGCCTGGGGGCATGCAGCCTCCATCTGCCCGGGGCCTGGACCTTAGTGGGCTTGGTGGGTTCCCCAGAGAAGGGCTGGTCTCTGCGCTGCGTTGGCCCTACCTCGGTGACCCCAGAGCTGACTGGGAAGAGGTGCCGGGCAGGGACAGACACGCCTCTGGCCTGTGGGGACTGAAGATGCCTGTTAGAGGCAGGACTGAGGCGCTTGCTCGTGTCTGCAGGTGTCCGCGGGGCGCTCAGCCTGAGCAGGGCTGGGAAAGGTCCCCACTGCGGATGTGCTGGACTCGGGTCCACCAGTCTGTGTGCAGCTGCACTATGGGTAGGAGGGAGGGGCTGGGGGGTAGGCAGGCTGGGGGCTCAGGGGTTAGATGGGAGGGGCTGGGGGGGTAGGCAGGCTGGGGGCTACCCTTCCCCCCCGGAAGCAGCAGCCTCTGCAGGGGAGCACTTGGCCCAGAACTTTCCATGGAGCCTTGCCTCGCAGTGGTCCTGTGCAGGGAGAGGCCTCTGCCCCTTGCTGGAGGTGTCCGGTGGTTCCCTCTGGGCATCCGGGTTGTTTGTGTGGATGGGCAGAGGCCTGTCTCTGTTCCCAGGGGGCTCGGTGGATCCAGCCACGTGGTGGCTGTGACCTGTCTGTGGACACGGACCCCCGGTCCTTGCACCCATTGATGCCCCTGCCCGGTCTGGGGGCGGGGGGAGGGGCTGGTGTGCCTAGAAGCTTGGCCATGCCCAGGGGCCCACGGCTGTGGGGGGTGCTGGCCGGGGTCCTTCCCTGGGGGCTGAGCCTTCCCGCCCGGTGGTTTCTGGCCATGTCGGCTCAAGTGGGGAGAAAAGTACGTTGGGTTCTCTCAGGCTCGTCTCATTTCCCGGTTAAAATGTGAACAGAAGTGGGGCAGTGAGTTTGTGATTAGAAGTCCCAGCCGGGTCCCTGGAGGTACCGCCCACCCATCTTCCTCACCTTCCCGTGTACAGCCTGCGTATCCCTGACCCCTCATCCCAAGTGGTCTCGACTTTAAAATGGGAAAAATGGGGATATTTGGGAATAACAAAGAATTGCAGTTCAGGCCAAGCAGGCACCATGGGCTCGTCGGACCAACGAAGGCCAGGGACGTCGTTTTCTGGGGAAGAAGGGGAGCTGGGAGCTTGTTTCGAAGGAGAGTCCGTTGGAGGGAGGCAGAGGTGCAGGGGGATGAGGTGTCTCCCTGGTGGAGCTGCGGTTGTGGGGGGGGGGGCTGGAATTCCCGTAGGGGCTGCCGTGCACCCCTCCCCGGTGGTTCTCCTGTGGAGGGTTCTGTCGTTCCCGTGACGGACACCAAGGGCGCCTCCACCCCCCCCACCCCGGCCTCCGGCCTCCACATGGGCAAGGCTTCTCGTTACTTATCCCGGTGGCGAGAGGGAGCCGGGGCTCGGGCTCCGTGGTGCAAATCTGGAGACTCGTGGGGACCAGGCCACAGCATGTGGGGAGCTGGCGGGTTTTAAGTTAGACTCTAGTTTGGGGTAACCCTGCATCCACATGCGGTGTTAGAGGGACCACAGATCCACGTGCTTGGTCCCACGTGGGCACAGTCACTACCGGGTCCTGGAGGCTCCCCCGGCCGCACCACCTGACCCCACCCTGCGCAACTGTCTCTCCACCATTTCCCTACCTTCTCGTTTCCAGAGTGGCGTTTAACTGGAATTGTGGCCCAACACCTTCGGGGACGGGCTTTCTCACTCAGCCTGCCCCCCCGGAGACCCCCGTGGGTCACTGTGCTTGTGGAGGTGTGTGCCCGTGCGCGTGCGTGTCCATCCGTGTCTGTCTGTCCGCCCATCGCCACCGTCCATTGGGCCGCGGACACAGGACGCAGCAGCTGTATCTGGTCCCCACGGACTCGGCCGTTCCTGGTTTTGGGCTGTTGTGAAGAAGGCGCTTTAAGTTGGTTCGTGGGTTTGTGTGCGCGTCGGTTTTCATCCGGGAGAAGTGCCCAGGGCGCAGCTGCCAGTCTGCGGCGGCCGCGCGTTTCTGCAGGAGCCGCCCCGCTTTTCTCCGCGCTCGCTGCTGCTGTCACGTTCCCGCCAGTCCCCCGTGTCCCTGGCAGCTTCTCATGTCGTCCCTCATTCAGCTGCTCTGCCAGGCACGGGGACACTGCGTGTCCCTGACGGCATGCGCCCTGCTCTTCCGTCCTGTGACGCGTCCGCCTCTGTCTGCTTCCTGTCGGCAGGCTTGTCGTGAGCTCGGGCCTCGTTTGTGTGCGTCAGGTGCTCGTCCTCCGTGGGACACGTCCGCCACACGGGGAGGCCTGCGCGGGCCCACGGGGTCTCAGACTAATTCAGCTGCTGCACCGGACATGTGTTTTCTCCCGTGACTTTCTCAGTGGTCTCCCTGGTGAACTGCGCTGTGGGAGCTCAGCGCGGGCCGGCCCGCCTACAAAGTGGGCGCTAGTTGTGTTGCTGGTACGGCTGCCGGGCAACAGTAGGTTCTGAGTAAAGTTCTGGGGGGTCCGAGGTTCTGTGCGGCCCCCGCCCCCCGTCTCGCAGGCGCAGCTGTGTGAGGCCCCTCGCGTCTGTGCAGCTCGGGCCTGTCCGTCCTAACGGGGCTTTTGCAGAGCAAAACTTCTTGATTTTGATGAGCTCTGGTTTACCTGTTTCTCCCTTTACGTGGGTCTGGTGCCCAGTGTAAGACCTGTCTGCGTGGCCCCGGCTCCCGAGGGTCTCACGTTGCGTAGTTTACCTTTAAGTCTGTGGCCCGCGCGGAGTTACGCGTTGTGTGAGGCGTGAGGGCAAAGGCCGCTTCGCGTCGCCCGGCACTGCGTGTTGAAGGGCCGTCTCTTCTCCGTCGAGCCGCTGCTGCCCCGTGTCAGAATCGAGTTGTGCATGTTTGTGCGAGTGTTTCTGGCCCTCGGGCGTCCCTGGAACTGGACTCCTGCCCTTCCGCCACCGCGCCCTGCTCGCCAGCCGCACGGCTCTGTAACGGGGCGGGTCCGTTGCTCCGGCTTTGAGACGTTTTTTTCAGAATTGTTTGTGCCTTCTAGTTTCTTTGCCTTTCTCTATAAATTTATATATTAAGAGAAAATTTTTAAGTTTAATTATTTTGAGAGAGAGAGCAAGCAATGGAGGGGAAGAGAGAGGGAAAGAGGGTCCCAAGCAGGCTTCACACCATCGGCATGGAGCCCAGCACGGGGCTCGAACCCACAAACTGAGATCATGACCTGAGCTGAAACCAAGAGTCGGACGCTTAGCCGACCAAGCCCTGTGGGCGCCCCGGCCTTTCCCTGTGAATTTGAGGGTAACAGTTCTTGCTGGAATGTAGCGGGGAGTTGGGTAATGCCCGGTCCGTTCTGGGAGAATTGGTGCCTCCACTCTGCTGTCTCCAGTCTGCGGACATGGTGTGTGTCTCCGTTTGTTCAGAGAGTCCTTGGTTTCTTCCAGCATTTGGTAGGTTCTGGAAACAAGTGTTGTACATGCTTTGCTAGATTGATACCTAAGTATTTCGTTGTTTTTTGAGCAATTGTGAATGATAGTCTATTTTTAATTCCCGTGTCTACACTGGTCTGCTGGGCTGCCGTATGAAGGCCTCAGAGACCGGGCAGCGTCAGAGCAGAATTCTTCCCCACAGCCCTGGGAGCTCGAGTCTAAGGTCAAGGTGTGAGCAGAGCTGGGCGCTCCCAAGGCCTCACTGCCACGGAGATGCGTCTCCTGTGTCCTCACGTGGACTTTTCCGAGCGTGTGTGCACGTCTGTGGTCCCTCTCCTCTCAGAACACAGGTCGCTGTTGTCACCGCTCGGACCTTAATTGCCCCTCTGAAGGGCCAGTCACCCGGAGGTCAGGGCTCGCACACACGCTTCTGTCCGCAGCAGCACCGTGTCCTTGTTGGGAACATAGAGGCATACAGTTGGTACTCAGGTGTTAGTCCTGGATAATCTTGCTTAGGCCATTTGTTAGGTCCAGGAGGTGTTTTGTTTTTCACATGCTTGTTCTTCCCTTCTCTGGCCTTATTACAACTGGCTCGAACTTTCTCCTTATTATTTCCTTCCTTTTACTTGCATTAGATTTTGATTGTTCCTCTTTTTCTAGGTTCTTGAAAATGGGAGCTTAGATTAATGACTTGCGTCTTTTTTATTTTATCTAGAGAGAGAGTGCACGAGCAGGGGTGAGGGGCAGAGGGGGAGAGGGAATCAGTCCGGGGCTCAATTCTAAGACCCTGGGATCATGACCTGAGCCGAAATCAAGACTCGGACACTCAACTGACGGGGCCACCCAGGTGCCCTTGGGACTTCTTTTCTAACATTTGCACTTAGTTCTGTGCATTCACTCTCCTACTGCGTCAGCCACGGCCCGCAGATTGGAAAGCTGCAATTTCATTGTTGTGCATCTCAGTGTATCTTTTTGTCTCTCCTGAGAGTTTTTCTTTGACCTATGATTATTTCAGACAGTCTTGTTTGGTTTCCAGGTGTTTTGACAGTTACCAGTTATCTTTGGTATTGATTTCTATTTTGATTCTATTTTGTGATCAGTGAATATAGTCTATCTGATTTCAGTCCTTTTTATGGCCCAGGATGTGGTCTGTCTTGTTAGATGTCATGTGGACCCTTGAAAAGAATCCAGATTCTCCTGTTGGTGGTGGAGTGTTTTATAAATTCCAATTAGATCTTACTGTTAATAGTGGTGTTGATTTCTCTCCCTGTGGGTTTAGTCTCGTCCCATTGAGAGAGGAGCGTGGGCATCTCCACCCTTAATTGTGGCTTTGATGGTTTCCCTTTCAGTTCCACCATGTTTTCCTTCACATGTTTTTACCTCTTTTGTTTATTGCACACATCTTGGGGATTGTGGGATTGCAGTGTGTGTTTTGATGGATTGAGCTTTTGATCATTTTGTAATGTCCTTCTCTGCCTCTTGTCATTTTCTTTTCTCTGAAGTCTACTTTACCTGATATCAACATAGCCATCCCTGTTTTCCTTTAATTAACATTTGCATGATATATATTTTTTTCTCCTTTTACTTTTTACCTGACCACATTGTTATATCTGAAATGAGTTACTTGTAGACTACATATGATTGAGTCATGTTTTTAATCTATTCTGCAAACATCTGTCTTATAAGTGATGAATTTAGACCATTTATATTTAGCGTAATTATTGATGTTAGAGTATATGACTGCCATATCATTTTTTGTTTTCCTTTTCTTCTCCCTGCTTTTCATTTTTTTTGCCTTCCTATGGATTTTTGGGCATTCTTTAGAATTTCATTTTATTTATTTGTTGGGCTTTTGAGTGTATCTCTTGGTATAGCTTTTTGATGGTAACTTTGTTAAATGGCCAATTTGAGTGAAGTACAGAAATCTCTCCTACCATGTCATTCTGCCTTCCACTGTTAATAGTTTAGTTGTCTAAGTATTTTCCCTACGTATCATTACTGCCATGTAAGATAGGGTTCCCACTTTTGCTTTGACTATCAAACACTTAGAAAATTCTAGAAGAGAAAGAGCCTTCTATGTACCATGATTTGGCTCACTGTGTTCTTTCTCTTTCCTGTTGATCCAGGGTTTCTTCTTTATTATTTCCTTTCTGTTTAGAGAACCTCCTTTAATCCATTCTTTTAGGCTAGATCTGCTGGTGACAAATAAATCTTCTCTTGGTTTTTCCCTCTTCTGAGAATGTCTTGATTTCCTTTTCATTCATAAAGGAGATTATACTGGATATAGGCTTCTAGGTTGATAGTTTTTTCTTTTAACTTTGAAAACATGTCACGTTCTTGTGGTCTTACTGGCTTCTGATGAAAAAGTCCACTGCTTTTCCCTTTCTCTGGCTACTTGCAAGATTTTTCTTTTTCTTTGCCTTTAGCTTTTCGGAAGTTTAAATATGGTGTGTGTTGGTCAGGTTTTCTTTGGGTTTGTCCTGTGTGTGTGGTTCCCTCAGCATCTTGAATCTGTAGGTTTGTGTCTCCTACCAAATTCTTAGCCACTATTTACTCAAGTAGTTTTCCAGCCCCATCTTCTTTCTTTTTGTGGAATTCCCATGACACAGCACCACCTCCTTTGTCATGTAAGGGAATGAGGTTGTGCTTATGATTTTTTTTTTTAAGTCTGTTTTCTCTCTGTTTAGATTTGGTGATTTCCATTGCCCCATCTTCCAGTTCATTGTTTCCTCTAGTCCTGACCATTCACTGAGTTTCTAGTTTGGTTATTGTATTTTCAGTTCTAGCTGTTGTCTCTTCCATTTCTTAGAGTTTTTCCTCTGTTCCGAGAGTGCTCACGCGCGGTGAGACACTTCATCTTGCGGTGTTAAAGCCCCGTCAGGTAACTTTGCATCTCTGTCGTGCTTGTGCTGGTGTCTGTAGGTTGTATCCGTTTGTGCTTCTAAGTGATTTTTTATTAAAACATGGACATTTCGGAGATTGTGTTAAGAGATCTGCGTCTTACTGAAACCCTCCACTGCGACAGGTTTTTTCTGCACGGCTCTCGCAGAAGTCGGGGCCATGTGGCTTGTGACAGCCGGGTGGGTGGAAGCCCAGGCTCCCGGCCGAGGTCAGGGGGGCTCCTCGCTCCTCCTTCCTGCCGGGTGGGGCCCGAGTTCCAGATCTCCAGCGGTCGGAAGGGCGAGGGTGCCCGGTTACTGCTCCCACGCGCCCTCCGGTGACGCCAGCGGGGCTGGGGTGCCCTCCCTGCTGCCGGGCAGTGCTGCACGCCCTCGCCCCACAGGGCTGGGGTTGGGGTGCTACCGCCTGCGGTGAGTGGAAGTCCGGCCCTTCTGTGTGGTGTCTGCTGGGGTGAACTTCCCAGCTGGCCCTTCGCCGCCCCCCGATGGGGGCCGCGTCGTCGTCTGATGAGGGTGGGGTCCTGCCGGGGTAGGGCTGTCCCTGTCCTGCTGGGCTGTTCCTCTCCAGGCCCGGTCCTTTTGCCGGAAAGAACAGCTTTTATTGTATCCCTCCCCCTCCCCCCATTCGCTGGCATTTCTGGATTGCTGGTTTCTTTAAATCTAAAAATACAGCGCAAAGTTAGAAAAGCCCAGGGGACACGCTGCTTTCTCGGCCTCCAGCCTCCTGCGCTCCCGCCGTCCGTGCGTTCTGTGTGTGACGGAGCGTTAGCCTGGTTGGGGGAGGAGAAGGGACACGTCAGCTCCATCGGCTGGAAGCGGAGTCCTTCAGGGTTCGGTTCCCGGTGCCGCTCGTGAATGAGCTCTTCCCGGAAGAGCACGGAGAGGGGCCCGCGGGGAGCAGGGCGCCGGGGTCTCGGCGGGACTCACGCCTGGCCTGGAGCCACCCCGGACTGCCTGCCGCGGCGGTCGGGGGCGTCGGGAGGGGCGTTCCCGCACGTGCGGCTGCCCTGGTCCCCGGGGCAGAGACCGGCGTGGCGCTCGGGGCTCCGCCACGTGGGACGCTCCCGCACACGCTTGTCCACGTGCCCTCGGCAGCCGTGGGCACAGAGTGAAGCTCGTGCTTGTCACGAATCGAGCAGAGCTTCCTGGGGTAGATCCCAGGGGCCACGCGATGCAGGGAAACTGCCAGGGCTCGTGGGAGGGTGGCGGGGCCCCGGGGCTCGTGGGAGGGTGGCGGGGCTCACAGGGGGGTGGAGGGGCCCCCAGGCTTGTCCTGGAGGGCAGAGGTGGGCCCACCCACGGGGACCTGCTCCGGGCTGTCCCCTGGTCCCCGAGCACCTGCCCCCACTCCTGCCCTGTTCCCAGGGCCTCAGCAGGAGGAGGGGGAGCCCGGGAGACTCCACCGGCCCCGCCCCCCACCTGCCCGGGCTGAACTCACCCCTGCCCTCTCTCTGTTCTAGTTCCTCGTCTACTTCGTGTTCTTCCTGGTGCTGTTCCTCGTCTACCTCTCGGGGGCCGTGCTCGTGCTCCTGCAGCACCTCCGGACAGGCCGCCCCGCACCCCCCCCGCCCCCGGAGGAGAAGGCCAAGCAGGTGCTGAGCCTGCAGGACACAGGCCTCAACGGGCCACGGCCCGCACCCCCCACGCCCGCCCTGGACAGCAGCGCGTGGACAGCAGAGGCGGCCCCTCCGGAGCAGAACCGGCAGCCTGAGGCCAAGGCCTGACACAGCCCGGCCTCGCGGGGGCCCAGCCTCCTCGACGCCCGAGGCAGCCCGCCCGCCGTGCTCTGCGTCCTGGGGCCTGGATGGGTCAGAGCGGCGCCCCCCCGCCCGGCAGCTCTCCCGGGACCCGGGTTCTGGCAGGGTCCACATGCCAGTGTTCACGCTGTGGAGCCAGCGCCCGACGGGGACCCTGGGTGGGCACCCCTGCGGCCCACACCCGGGGGCTCGTGCGGAGGGGGCCCCGGGTACCGGTTCCTGTCCCTGCCCTGTCACCTGCTGGGGCGCTGCGGGCTGGCTTGCGGTCCCCTTGGCGGAGAGGGGCTTCCGCGTGCCCACCAGGCCTCTGCACCCTCACCCCCTCCACCCACGTGAGGCGGGTCCTGCTTGTCCCGGGGACCAGGGAGGGGCCGCGGTGCCAGCCCAGGGACTTGGTCCCCGCAGGGCGCACTCTGCCCCGTGGCACCGGGCCCGGAGCCCTGCTGCCCGGAGCCTGTGGCTAAACTGTGAGGCCAGTTGTCCAGGTACTTGCTTTAGACTGTGCTCTGTCCCTTTCCACAAGCTGACCTAAACAGGAAACCTCAGGGGGCCCCTGTCTCTGGGGGAGACACCAGGCATTGGCAGGCGGGCACCTGCCTGTAGGGCGGATGCAGGAACACGGGGCCCGGAGCCCTGCTTCTCCCCTGGTGGGTTAACCCTGACCTACCTCACTGGCAAGCGCAGGCCGCTCAGGGCCGCCCGCTCACGGGCCAGCCCGCGTGGGACCCCCGCGCACACCGCCCCGAGGTGCAAGGCGTGTGCTCTCTCCAAGATCAGACCACGAGCCCTGCGCGTGGCGGGCCCCCTGGTCCTGTCTGTGGCCCCCGGCCTGGGTGGGGGGCTGGTCAGGAGGCCAGGAAGGCGGCCCGGCCCCAGGCAGGAACCCACACCGGGCCCACAGGTCCTGGAGCGAGCACGGCCCCCCTGCAGCCCTCGTCTCAGTAGCGCCCACGCCCCGCGGGACGGCAGGCACGGCCAGCTGCTCGGGCCCGCTGGGTGCAGACAGGTCGGAACGGCGCTCCTGACCCAGAGGCTGCTGCGCCCGCCTGCGCCCAGGCCTCCCTCCGGGCCGCCTCGGGGCGCGGGGCATCTCGGGAGGATGCTGGGGGGGACGGTGCATCCACGCGGGCTCTTCCCTGACTCCTCACTGCACCCTGGGCCCCGAGGACCCTGTAGGGAGGGCGCGCTGTTCCCCGTCCCTGCCGAGTCCTGCAGGGCTGATGGGTGGAGGGCGGCGTGTCTTGCCTGGTCGCTGACCTCACGGTGAGGGCTTTGCTCCCGCCCCTCGAGCCCTCCCACCAGCGGGTGGCCCAGCTGCCCGGTCCCGCAGTGGGCTCCACGCGCCGCCGTGGCTCTGGGGAGATGGCGGTGCTGGGTCTGCAGGACCCCGGGCCACCCCCAGGCGCGCTCGGGGGAGAGGGTTCGTGCGCCAGCACCCATGCACCCTGCTGTGCCCCTGACGTCCCGAACCTCCGCCCACAGCCACCCCTCCACCCGCTGGGCCAGCGCTCCAGCCCCGACAGTGGAGGCGGCTGTGAACGGAGGGTCAGTGGGAAAGGCCGTTTTTATTTGGAGCCTGTCTGCAAAGCACGTGACCCGGTTGCCAGAGCAGCCGCCGTGCCTTACAGAGCAGTGTTCACACCGCGCTGGGGTCCTTGCCCACGACCCTTCCAGCACGACCACCTGGCGCCCCACAGCGTCCCCGCCAGGGCTTGGCAAGGCCGGTCTCGTGAGCGGTGTCGTGGCCAAGGGCACGTGCGGCCGTCCTGTTAGCCTCATGCCTTGTGTTAAGTAAGCTTCGTGCCCAGCGTGGGGCTTGAACCCCCAAACCAGGAGATCGTGACCTGAGCTGAGAGCAAGAGTCTGAGGCACCCGGGCGCCCCTTGCCTCTGGGGTTTTGAGCTCCCTGTCCTGCAAAGGTGAACCTGGGACCCCGGGCCCGGCGGGCAGGCAGGCATGCCGGCTGGGGAGCCGGGTGCGGAGAGTGGGCCCTGCTGGGTTCTCGGATGTGGTCCTGGGCGGGGCCCCTCAAAACTCCTAGCCGGGGACGTCTGGCTGCCTCAGTGGAGTTTTTGATCTCAGGGGCGTAGTTTGAGCCCCACGCTGGGCGTGGACGTTACTTCTGACTCTGCCTGCGTGGCCTTGGCTGCAGGAAGGTGGCGTGGGGCAACTGAAGATGGGCCTGTCACCAGCGCACAGTGGCGTCGGGTCAAGGCTGGAGCCTGGGGGCAGCGGTGGCACTGGTTTGGGGAACAGCCCCGGCCTGGGGGGCGGCTGCAACAGGCCAAGGAGAGGCGGCCCCACCCTGCACCCGTGGCGTGAGCCGCCCCTTCGGCTCACAGCTGGGGAAGGGGCCCCTGCCAGGCCCCCCCCCCCCCCCGTGCAGCACATCCCTCTGCCACCGAGCGGGTCTGCCTCCGGGCCTGAGTGGGGCCGGGAGGGCAGGGGACAGCCTCGTGGGAGGCGGGGAGAGAAACTCTCGGCAGCAGGTTTTGTTTTAAACTTTTTAAAAAATACACTCTTTGGCTTCCTTTTATTTCTTGAGGGTTACATTAAACGTGAACCGCAGAGCCGCACAGGAGAGTGTCCCCGCCAGGTCCCACCCTGGGGGCGGGTGTGGGCAGTGCTCCTTCAGGGCGGCTTCCCGGCTCCAGGCCGCCTGGCCGTCCGGCGGAGCCCCTACTTGGAGGAGGAGGTCATGAAGCTGTTCTCGATGCAGAGCACGATGAGGGCGTTGCGGCAGCTCGCGGCTTTCTGCGCCAGCAGCCTGCCCGCCAGCAGTGAGGACGCCTGGCCAGTGGCCCCCGCGTCCTCCGTCCGCCACGTCTCGCAGTAGCTGTCGGTCAGGCGGCGCCCGCTGGGGTCCGAGCCGTGCCACACGCTCTTCTGGGGCCTGCGGGACGCAGCCGTCAGCCTCGGCCTGTGCCCTGCTCGCGGGGCCGTGGGGGCGCCCCCCCCCCCCCCCCCCCCCCCGCCTCTGCTGCTGAGCGCCTACCAGGCAGGGTGCTGCAGGACGTCCCTGCCGTCGAAGGACAGGATGCGGGCGCCGGGCTGCAGCGCGCCCCCCGAGCCGGACAACAAGGCCTCCCAGCTGGGGAACAGCACCTCGTCCTGGGGAGGGCGGCGCGGGAGGGCTCAGGGCTCATTCCCTCCCCAGAGGCGCCCCGGCCCCCCCCCTCCCCGGCCGCAGCAGTAGGGGAGAGGCTCCGGCGTGACGAGTGCCCGCCCCAGAGACGGGTTCTGACCCAGCTCCGAGGGCTGGGAGGGGGCCCGGCCCAGCCTCCTGAACCCGAGGAGCCCCGTGCGACGGGGGGGGGGGCTGCACCCACCCTGAGGTTAACGACGGGCACGCCCGTGCGGTCGGCGCGGCGCACGATGCTGGAGAGGTCCTGCAGCCGCGAGGACAGGAAGGCGCGGAAGGTGCCCGCCAGCCCCACGGCGCGCGCCTGCTGGAAGCACTGGAAGTCCGCGCCGCGGATGCCGCGCATGCCGCCCGGCTGGGGGCTGTTGAGTGCCGCCAGGTGGAGCTGCGGGGGGGGGGGGGGGGGGGGG